GTTTGATCCATTTTGGATTAAAACCCTAACCCTAATCAGGAAAGAAATCAAGATGCAGAGAGTTCAACCGAACCCTTACACATCGGGGAAGAAGAACAGTGACTCAACCCTAACCCTAACCGGCCGAATTTGTGACTGGGGAAGGGAAAGAAGCATCGGGGAAGATGAACAGCTAAACCCTAACTCTAACCGGTCGAATTTGCGACCAGGGAAGGGGAAGATGCATCGGGGAAGATGAACAGCTAAACCTAACCCTAACCCTAACCCAAATCCCCAATCGACAAAGAACCGAGAAGAACACAGCAAGATCCAAAGACAGAAGAGGGAAAGGGGAAGAGGGGAAGAGGCCTACCTCGGTGCTCCACCGCGCTGCCGCCTCGTTGGCGCGCGAGAAGTACTCCGAGCCGATGCTCGTCAGGCCTGCGCGAGCTTCGTGCTAGGGCGCCACGGCTAGGCCGCTTGATAGTACCATCTCTCTCTCTCTCTCTCTTGGCTCCGGGCTCACCTCCACGTGCCACCGTGAGGTGGCTTGATGAGGCCACGCGTAGCCTCGGCCGCACGCGCACTCCGGCGAGCAGCCCCTCGACGGTATGGCTAATATCGGGCGGCCTCGCCGTTTCACCCTCTCGTCGGCCATGCAAGAGAGAAGGCAAGGGAGAGAAAGCAAATGACTTAGGGTTCGGGGGTGATGACGCCGTCGCCGGGGTTTTTGTTCCGTCGATCTCCATCGAACGGCGCAGAATCAACGGACCGGACGCCGGCCCAGGTGGGCGAGTGCGGCCGCGCGGCTTTGCCGGCCTAGGCCCAGGTTGTGGCCTGGGTGCGGGCAGCGTGCGTGCAAGGGATCTAGGCCGGGTGGCTTTTGCCATTTTTGGGCCAAGAACCAGTCAAGATTGAACCCATTTTTTTCCAGTAAATGTTTATTTCTGAAAAATGAAAAATGGCTCAAAGAAAATAGAAGAAATATGAATTTTAATTCACAAATTATGTTTAAGTTTCCGCTGTAAAATTTAATGCTGATTATCTTTGAATTAAATTCGAACCAACGGGAGAATTTAATTTAAAGAACATTTATATTTAGTAAATTATGATTATGTTGATCCTCTCTAATTAAATTGGAACAGACGGAAAATTTTAATTAGAGTAGTCGGTTTGTGTTTGTGTTAAATTATGGTATTGTTATTTTCTGACCAACGTTGATGATAACAATATTATAATGAGTTTAAGTTTGAGGTTTAAATCTCTGATAAATTTTACACTAACGTGGTTAATTTTCAGAGAGTAGATAAGGACCAAGAAATGTTCCTGAACTAAAAAAATATATTTCATTTAGTATTCGTTGTAATAAAGTTGATTATCTTCTAATTAAATTCGAATTAACGGGAGAATTTAATTTTTGAATAGTAGTTATATGGATTTCAAGTTAATTTATGAGTTTTATGCATTAATTCTATTTTCTGCCCAACGGTGATATATAATTGATGCAGAAGCACCTTGTATGTTTTAATTCGACGATATCACTTGGCTGCATGCCAACGAGCTATAATGCTGAGGTATGTCAATGAAAAGGCATGAGTCAAGCCAGTTCAGGACAATTTTTATTAGTTTATTAATTTTCTGATTAAATTAGAACCAACGGAAAGATTTAATTGGAAAATAAAGTATAAGTGAATGTTTTAGTCGTCATGACTAAGTTTTCCTATAAATGTATCTCGCATGGGAGAAGTTTTGGCATAGTAATTATGTTAATCCATCCAGCATGGCAGGAGAAGTTTTGTGATGATTCACATGTTTTGTATCCCGCATAGCAAGAGAAGTTTAGGTAGCTTTTATGCTGTCCTAGTATTGACCTTGGCACAAAAAAATGCATAGTCATGGTCAATAATAACCAAAAGATAAGAAAAGATGCAAGTGTGACTTACAAAAGGTATTGTAAATGAAAGACCTCATTGAGTTCTTAAAGTGAATTAAGGAAAGTGTACTCCTAAACGGATCAAGAAATAACTTTGTTTACATGACACAATCATGTGAATGAAGTAAGTTATAAGTGTCTTCTCCTTTACAGGCTTACTGAATAGTTATCAAAATTATGGCAGTAAAGTTCATGCCATATTTTAAGAGGGAGAAAAATATAAAGATCAATTAAGAAAAATACTCTTTATTAAGAGTGAGATAAAGATTAATTAAGATGAATATGATCGTCGGAGGAGTACAACGGTTACAACAATGATACCCCTAAACAGAGAAATAGCTAAATTTCTGGACCTTTTAAAGTTCCGATAGAAAGATAGCGTAGTCAGTCTCAAAGATGTTAAGGTGGTGCTTAAAGCGCCATATGAGATTTTAACGGATTAAACCCAAAATAAGATATTTAAAGATACACTATCTTTAGAAAAGATGAGAAGATCTAGGAGAGCATGGTATATAAAGGTATGTATTGATCTAAGACTTAAAGAGAAGAGAAACTGTGTGGCCACTCTACTAACTCAGGAGCAACAAGTTTCTCAATATCTGTTGATGTTGTATGACCAATACAACACCTGTTGTTAGCTCTTCGAAGAAGATAAATAATATAAATAAGGATATTGTTATACAGGAGCTTGTTGAATCAATTGTCTCTTGGCAATGAAGAGCAACAACAGCCCCATATAAAAGTGCCAGTAGCTAAGGCCCCAAAAGGTATCAAAGAATTAGTAAACCAATTTTCTGATGACTATAAAGTCTATGTTAGTAAAGAAATTCGAATGAAGGGTGATCCCACCTCAATTGAAGAAGTCATAAGAAGCGTTTACTCGTTTAAATGGTAAGAAGCTATGAAAGTTGAAATGAATTCGATGAGTACCAACGATGTTTGGGACTTAGAAGTAATACCTAATGGAGCCAAAACAGTAGGATGTTAATGCATCTACAAGACAAAATGTGATTCCAAAGGAAATGTACAAAGATATAAAGCATGACTTATGGCAATATGCTTTAAGCAAAGAGAAGAATAGATTACAATGAGAGTTTTCTCTCTAGTCTTATGTAAGGATTATTTTAGAATCATAATGGTGTTAATGGCATATTACGATTTAGAGTTATATCAGATGGATGTAAAGACGTCATTTCTCAATGGGGATTGATATGAAAACGATTGCATGGCATAACCCAAAAAATTGTCATGGAAGAAAAGAACATATGGGATGCCGCCTGTAGAAATCCTTTTATGGGTTAAAAGTAAGTCTCTAGACAGTAGTATTTGAAGTTGATGAAATGATAAGAAAGTTTGGGTTTAAAGAAAATAAGAAGGACAATAGCGTTTATGCGAAGTTCAAGAATGGAAAATTCATTTTCCACATCCTGTGAAGATGACATTCTACTCACTAGTAGTGATGTTGATCTGTTATTGGAGAAGAAGAAGTTTTGTCCTAAAGTTTCAATATGAATGATTTTGGTGAAGCACCATTGGTTCTATGAATCAAAATTCACCGAGATAGAAGAAAATTAGGTATTAGGACTATCACAAAGGCATACTTAGAAAAGATTCTAAAGAAATAAAGTATGCATGCGAGTAAACATACGTCTGCTCCTATAGTCAAGGGTAATAGATTTGGGAATTTTAAGTGTTACAGGAACCGATATGAGATCGATCAAAAGAATATGGTTCCATATGCTTCAGCTGTTGAAAGCTTGATGTGTGTACAAGTACAAGTAAGAACTTACCCTGACGCAGTTTATGTATCCGGAATATTTTGGCAGAAGTCTAGTTCAGATATAGATCACTGGAATTGAGTTGAGAATATCTTGCAATTTTACAAGTATAATAGGCCTCATGCTGAGTAAGAAAGAATAAGTACTCTCAAATAGTTGATAGTACAAAAAGTTAAGTCTTGACGAGATGTGTAGTAAAATCCATAGCAGTTGCTAACAGTCGTAGTTGGAGTATTATTGTGGAAAAGCTCCAAAGAAACAGTTGTGCTGTCATCAGTGATGCATACCATAGTATAGCTTGTCATGAGGTTTAAGGAACAGGTAAAAGTAGGTTAAGGAAACTTGTACCCAGATTTAATAATGGTAGACAATAGCAATAACTATTTAAAGTAAGTTAACCCATAAGACAACAAGTCAAGTGTGCTGTTAAACACATTGACACTAAGGTATATGTTGTAAAGGAGAAAATCCAGAATCATGTTGAAAACATTGAGCATATAAGTACCGAGTGAGTACTCGCGGATCCACTTACCAAAGGCTAACTACCCAGTGCGTTCAGAGAACACACAGTCGACATGGATTTATGGGAAAGCCTATGATTTCTGAATACTAAGGGGCTAGTTAAGTATCTGTTTCAAAATAGAGATGTGTGTTGTAGCTGTTTAATCTAATGGCAACAGACCGTGACGATGAGGCACACTCTATGCACTGACCTGTGATGGAATAGGAACAAGATAAAGTAAGTAAGTTAAGTTTAATGAATAATGTGAGATTAAGGGGGAGAATGTTAGTTTGATCTCCACTAATTGGTCCAATTGTGAATTGGGCCCTTGGATCAACGTCCTGATCGGGGGCGTCCAACTGCTCCATGGTTGGTGGACCCCCGTCGCACAGCACCATAAAGGGAGGTGGGGGCCGGGGCTCTAGCTACGAGGTTCACCTGAGCCGCTGAGGCCACACCTCTATCCCAACGCTAACCGATCAAGAGAGACGGTGCTGCCAGCGACGGGAAGCCGCCACCGACCTCACCGTCGCCTCTGCATCGCCACCACCGCGCCTACGATGCTACGACAACAGAGAGGCTACGTCGTTGCAGCACCACGACCATAATTGCCTTAGGGCGAGGTACTTCAACAGTTTCTCATCTAAAAGTTGTTTACCCATTGACGTGCACCTAGAGCTTATAAAAATTTCTTTCTCCAGGCGCCGCTCCACTTGTGGTCCCCAAAGGTGTTTTTTCAGGAGTGTTTCCAGATTCCAGCCAAGGTGCCTATTCTTTCGCGATGATCGCCAGCGCACCGGACACAGCCATGTGGTGTGACGTCCAACTAACAAAGGATGGTGTTGGAGTCTGCCTTCAGGATATAAATATGAAAAACTGCACCACTGTCGACCAAGCGTACCCCGCGAGGGAGCGGACCTATGTCATCGATGGCGTGCGCAAAACTGGATGGTTTGGTTCAGACTTCACCATTGCTGAGCTTCAGTCTGTATTTCGTGAGTACAGCAATACCACTGCAACTCTGTAAGCCTTCCGTTTAAAGCGATTCGATCATTGCATAATCTCTGTACATCTCAGATGTGTAGTAATACAAACTAATTAACAGCTTGAGAAACACCAAGTACATGCACACATGCCACTAGACGCCCCGCCAGGTTCATGAGTCTTTGAAAATCGTAACAGAATACCATGTTCTGGTTGGTTTTATTTTGTTCTATATAACTAGTTTTACATTATGGGTATCTTGAGTTGTTTGTGTTGACATTACTATTACTATTATTTTTATGTTTGTTTGCTCAAAGCATTTCTACGATTATGCGCCTTTTATGGCCTACAAATTAATTTTAATCATGTAAGCTATACTTCTTAACCGATTATCTACTTTATTGAGCAGTAACACAAGCAATTTGGTCTCGCACTGAGAGATTCGACGGCATCTATCCTATTGTCAGTGTTACTGACTTTCGGTCCCTTGTCATGCCGTCTCCTGTTTGGTTGAATGTCCAGGTTGAATTATTGTTCTTGGAACTTAACCAGAATTTACTATTGCTGCTGTTATACTATCTTCAAAAGCTAATTTCGTTTTCATATGTATAGCATGGCATCTTCTACAAACAACATGGTTTGGACATGAGGAACTACATACTTTCAATCAAAAAGCGTGTATCCATGGATTATATCTCATCACCTGAACTGGGCTTCCTCAAAAATATATCTCAGCTTGTTCATTTCGTCGTAAACGATCGTGGATTATTTACCGCTGGCTGGTTTGGTATGAGAGAAAAATATTGTTCCAGCTTATAATCCACGATCGTATACGAGCAAGCGAACAGGCTGTCTGTTGGCAGAACAAGCCCAAACGAACAGGGCGAGAATTATTCCCTATAACTACAGCTATGATCCGTTGGCAGAATACCTGAACTTTATCAATGATGGTGGCTTCTCCGTCGATGGTGTATTGTCAGAGCACCCAATTACTGCATCAGAGGCAATTGGTAGGCTACTAACTTTTGCATCAGTACATGTTAAAGATCCAGCTACACTATTTTTATCGATTCTGACCTTTTCACCCTATGAACTACGTCCTCTGTTCTCCTATGAACAATATTTTGAATTTTCACGTTTACTAAGTAAAAGGCATAATATTACAATCCTCCATTGAAACCTGTCTTCTAATGCCTCATGTTAGACCTGAGTATTTTGCGGTTCGGGCCGGGCCGAAAAAAAGCCCGGTTATCTCGGGCAAAAAAAGTCCCGCCCATGACTGTCCCACTGGACATGTCGGGACTAATTTTTTTGGGCCAGGCCCGGACCTGGGCGGACTCGAGCCAAGAATTTTTTTCTGGGCAGTGGGATCTCTACTTAGGCCATGTCCAAGAAGGTTCGTGGGCGGGCTAAAACTCATCAGGCTCGGGCTAGGCCTGCGGGTCGGGTCGGGCCAGGCTCATTTTGCTCAGGTATACCTCATGTTGATATTAGATTGTTTTGTCCCCTCATCCCCCATTTAGTCTTATAGTGTTCATTGTCCAGTGATTTTATTACTGTAGGGTTTAAAGTAACTTTACCGTCTTTTAAGATATGTCTGTGCCCACCGCGGAAACATAGTGTGATGTTTAATTGTTTTTATGGACAAATAAGTGACATATATTTTTAATGCATTTGAATCTCCTTATCTGCAGGTTGTTTTACTAAACTGAATTCAAATAAGAATGATCATGGTACGTATCGTATAGGAGTAAGGCCTACTTAGTAATTGTACCGTGATGGTTGGATGTCTTCTATTTCTATTCAGTTTAAGTATTTGTAATTCTTTTTTGCAGGGGAACCCTTAGTTATCTCACATAATGGTGCTAGTAGAGACTACCCGGACTGTACAGACCTGGCCTACCACAGTGCAATTGATGATGGCGCTAGATTTCTGCCCCGTTCGCTTGACTTATAAGCCATATTTTTTAGTCAACGAACAATATTTTTCTCTCACAACAGATCAGTCAATAGTACTTTCAGCCATAGCTTATCAGCTAAACGAACAGGACATTCATTGATTGTCCTGTTCAAGTGACAAGTGACGGAATTCATATGTGCATGAGTTCCACTAACCTGCTTGACACCACGAATGTTCAGAGAACAACTTACAGCTCTCTTGTTTCTGTTGTTCGGGAAATTCAGCCTCAACCAGGAATCTTTACATTCAACCTCACTTGGGCCGATATTAACAGTAATGCTTTAAAACGTGAGTTTGTTTTGTAGCAGTATAACATTACAAATACATGAATAGCTCACAAAAGGTACAAACTTATAATTATCCTTTTGACTGGCCCTTTATATACAACCAAAATATCTTCCCCAGTAAGTGGTTATTCTCTTGTAAGGAACCCAAGGTACACAAATCAAGGGAAGTTTTTTGAAGTTATCTGACTTTCTAGCAATCGCAATGGATAAGGACTTGTCCGTTGTCATGATCATCATTGAGGTGGTACTTTCGCTGGAAGTTTTGCTTATTTGCTTATGATCTCAAAGAATTGAACTTTTCACCTGATTTTTGTCTCTATTACGACTTTGTGATACATGCCGGTTTCGTTCAAAAACAGTATGACTATGTTACGAGCAAAAGTTCACCAGATAGTTACCTTGTTGGTCCCGAGATCACCCTCACGGGTGAGCCGACCACTCACCGATGTTGCCGACCACACACTATGGCTAGAGTTAGAAGAAGTGAGGAAGAACAGAGCACACACATAAAGCACAAGTACCAGCGTTGGCCGAAACTCTGCAGAGGAGATGGCAAAACTGAACTCGCTTCGCTTTACTAAGTTGCAGTGGGAAGCTATATAGACAACTATACCCATCTATTCCTAGTACACATACATGCCAGGCTGCTACAGTGACTAGATGTGACAAGATGATCGACTTTTTGACGTCGCCTGTTAGGGCTACGGCGGCAAGGGAGCCTTTCAAGCACTGCCCGCCATGCGGCTAAAGATGCCGCAGCAGGAGCCCTTCGACGTCTGCCCTCGCGCATTCGTTGAGAGAGATGTGAGAGCAGCAGATTACTTTACAATTCTTCCCTTAATCCTGTTGCTAACCCTAAAACCACCACCATGCCGATCATCTTCTTCAGCTTCGTGAACCGAAGACGGCAGAGTGGCTTGGTGAGGACGTCTGTGAGTTGTCGACCAGTTTCGACGAACTCAATGACGATTTGCCCTCCATCGACACAGTCCCTGAGTAAGTGGAACTTGATGTCGATGTGCTTGCTCCGATCGTGGAAAACCGGATTCTTCGCAAGGGCGAGGGCGGACTGGTTGTCCACCATCAGTGCTGGTGGATGAGCTTCCACACCGGTCAGCTCGCCCAGCAGCCGGCGCAGCCACACAGCTTGGCACGCCGCTGTGGCCGCCGCCACGTACTCTGCCTTGCACGTGGACAACGCTACCACCTTCTATTTCAGCGGCAGCCATGAGATTGGAGCTGACCCGAGGAAGACAAGCACGCTAGAGGTGCTCCGCCGTCCATCGATGTGCCCCGCCATGTCTGCATCGCTGAACACAGTGAGCTGTAGCCCACTTCCGCCGGTCTTGGGGAAGACAATCACCTGATCCACCATCCCCTTGACATAGCACAATAGCCGCTTCACCGTGGCCCAGTGATCCTCTCGGGGATCCTCCATAAAGCGGCTGACGTAGCCTACGGCGAACGCAATGTCCGGCCTCGTGTGGACTAGGTAGCGCAAACCGTCGACGATGCTCCGGTAGAGTATTGCATCTACCCTCGCCGCGGTACTGGCCTTCGTCAGCTTCAACCGCTCCTCCATCGGAGTCACGCACGACTTGCACTTAGCCATGCTGCTCCGCTCCAACAGCTTCGAGGCGTACGCGCTCTGACCAAGTGTGAGCGCCTCCTTCCCCTGTCTCACCTCGATGTCGAGGTAGTAGGAGAGCGCGCCGAGATTGCTCATTCGAAAACGAGCCGCCATCTCACGCTTGAAACTGTCGATGTCCTCCGCACGCGCGCCGGTGATGATCAAGTCATCCACATACACGTCGACGACGAGCTCCTCCTTCCCCCGTCGTCGCGTGTAGAGTGTGTGCTCGGGTGCGCACCGCGTGAACCCAAGCTTGCCTAGCGTGGCGTCAAGCTTGGCGTTCCACGCTCGCGAGGCCTCCAGCAGCCCGTAGAGCGCCTTGCGCAGTCGGAGCACCCTGTGCTCTGCTCCCTTGACGGCGAAACCCGGAGGTTGCCTGACGAAGATTGTCTCCGCCGGCTCGCCGTTGAGGAAGGCCGATTTTACGTCCAGGTGATGGACGCGCCAGTCTTTCGCTGCTGCCAAAGCCAACGGCAGTCGAATAGACTCCATACGCGCTACCAGCATAAAGACTTTCTCAAAGTCGATGCCCTCGTGCTGGATAAAACCTCGGGCGACGAGACGCGCCTTGTGCTTGATAATAGCGCCGCGCTCGTCCCGCTTGACCTTGTACACCCACTTCAGGCCGATCGGACGGCATCCTGGAGGTGGATCGACGAGCTCCCAAGTCTCGTTTTCTCGATCGCCTTCATCTCCTCCAGCATCGCCCATCGCCAATTTGCGTCGCGCTCGGCCAACGCTCGGCCAAAACACAAGCAACAACGTTGGCCGGAGCTCTGCAGAGGAGATGGCAAAACTGAACTCGCTCGCTTTACTAAGTTGCAGTGGGAAGCTATATATACAACTCTACCCATCTAATCCTAGTACACAGACATGTCAGATGTCATGCTACTACAGTGACTAGATATGACAGCAGAGGCTGACTTTGGCGCCTGCCCTGCTGTGGCTATAGTGCCGTAGGGGAGCCTTTCGGCGTCTGCCCCTGCCGCTCGTTCAGAGATGGGAGAGCAGCAGATTACTTTACATACCTCTCAATATGTTATGCATAATCTGTTTTATGAAAGAGCCCATCATCTGTTTTATATTGACAAGTGATATAATTTGCTAACCGGTTGTCATCTCGATGAGTTCTGCTACAGTTACTAGTATAGACATTGCTTCTATAAACCTCTGCAAAGATTGTATTTTTCCCTGGTGCCTTTCCAAATATTCTCCTCATCTTTCCAGAAGTCAAATGTTATCTTAATAAATGGAATTCTTCCTTCATTGATCAATCTATGTTTTGTACTACAGAATGCTGTATTTTTAGTAAATTCATTGGGAATTGACATTGTTGATTCTGTAACCACTGCCTTAAGTGCGGCTGGCTTCAGAAATCATCCTACCAAGGAAGTTCTGATCCAGTCAAAAGATAGTGGTGTTCTTGTCAAATTGAAGCAGCAGAAAACAAAATGCAAGCTTGTTTACACTCTACCTTCAGGCATCGGGGATGCTTCTAATTCCTCATTGAAAGACATTAAGCAGTTTGCTGAAGCTGTAGTTGTGGACAGCAAATCTGTTTTTACTCTAAGTTCTGACTTTATCATAAGACAGAACAGTCTTGTGCAATATCTGCACTCAGCGGGGCTAGCTTTGTATGCAGAGGTGTTCCGGAATGAGTTTGTAGCACAACCGTTGGATTTCTTCGGAGACGAAACTGTGGAAATCAATTACTATGTTCAATCATTTAATTTATCAGGCATCATAACTGATTTCCCGAAGACAGTCAGAAGATACAAAAGTAAGTCAAGTCTCATTTGCCATGTCATATGTGCATATAGTTCACTATCTTGCAGTGTTTCATTTTCTTCCCGGCTGTCTTCAGTAGTGAAGGTACAAGTTTCACGGGTATGAGTTGGGGAGTGCTTCCAGGCCTCGAGTTGTAATATACTAAAATTCATTATTATATTTCTTCTTAATGCACAACTCTCTGTGTATTCTCAAGAAAAGAAAAAAACATCTACATATAGTGGGACATCATTTTGCTGCATTAATAGCGTATGATGGAAAATAGCATGGGAACATGGCTAGTGGTGTTTAGGTCATTTTTTCAAGTTTTCACAGTGATGGTGTCATTTCTCAACTGCACAGTTTCATGTAACTTTATTTAATTAGTAGGCTAGTAGCTGCAGTATTTATGCTCAATTTTCTGACAGCTGCATGCTCTTGTATTGCCAGAAAACACTTGTACAGTTCTGGGAAGGATATGCCCAGCTACATGCAGCCTGCTCAGGCTGGCTCGCTTGCACAGTTTCTCCAAACCTTCAAAACCCAGCCGCCATCTCTGCCACCAATGCCGACACTGAGTTCTTCAAGCGTGGAGGAGCCACCTCTTCCTACTGTTGCGTCAAGAGGTGTATCTGATGGTAGTTCCTCAAGGGGCACCAGAACTCCTAGCACACCTTCTGATGCTCACACGGCTACTTGTAGTGCTGGCATGCTACTTGTGATGGTTTTCGCAGCTCTGCTGATCTGACAAGACACATGAGACTGTATAGTAGACGACTGGAGCTAATCTGATCTCCCTTGGATTCGGGCAAGCTTTGACTGGTGGTCTGGTGCTACCACAAACTTGTTTTCTTGTTGGACTGTGTTGTAGTAGTACTCCAATTATTTTAATTAGCAGTTGCCACACTGTGGGCAACTAGCATTTTGTTTTGTCATGGAAGTTCGAATTTGTTTTTTTGTTGGAAAAACCAACGCCCACCCCTATCCTATCTCAAAGTCTCCCTTTCTCTTTTCGGGAGCAGAGCTGATCAAGATGTAGTTACCCTAAGATGAGATTGAGTTCAACAAGTGTGAGTCGTTCATTTAATAGGTCAAAAGGCTACGATCACTTGTTACTTCCCAAATATATGTTTATTTCATTACTTATTTTTGGAAAATAGGATAAATAAAGGAAGTTTTAGATATAATAAAAATCTTTTTTCTAGATATGATTGATGCATTTAGAATACTTTTTTCTCATGCATGTGATCTACTCCCTCCGTTCCGTTGAAAGTGTCGTTTTTTAGACTTCTTGTTTGACCCTTCGTCTTATATAAGATAAATAAATGAATAACAATCCCAGTACTCGTCTTCCTAGTCTTCCCCTCCCAGGAGCTCTAGCTATAGGAGTAGTTATCACGTGACCCGGCCTATATGTGTGTGTTTGGTTCGGTAGCCAACCCTTAGTCTGATTCTCTGGAGTCAAGATGGACTTGTTTGGTTGGCTGCAGGTTGACTTGGGCCTGGCTTTGGGAGGCCATCCCTACAGCTCTAGCCTAGCTACGAAAGAACACAGGTAGAGCTTGTTTTTCTAGGGCCAGGCGAGCATGCGGCGGAGGCCTCATAGGCGGTGGCCGTGCTCTCCGTCGTCCTCGTCGTCAATGGTGTTCGTCCCTGCTCGTCGTCAATGGTAGTGGGCTGGTGGCTGGCGCGGCAGAGTGCGGAGGTGGGCTGTGCAAAAGAGGGTCGCGGCGGGGGCAAAGCGGCCGTGGTGCGCCAGGGTGGCAGGGGTGCGGCCCTGGCCTCGCATGGCTAGGGGCATGAGGAGCGGCGGTGGGGTCACCTGGCATGCAAACGACGACAAGATCTCACGAGAACGACGATGCAGCTCTGATGAGGACGGTTGGGGGGTCTCGACGGAGCTCGCACGAGGACGACCACGGAGCTGTCCACGCCGGGGTTGCTCTGCACCGACACAATGCCACTGGGTTGCGTGACCACCGCTGGCGCGCCATGCTGTTCGATCTCTGCCAGAGCTACGTCACCACCGCACAACACATGTTCAATGGAATGCCTCAAGGGGTAACTGAAGAGGAGGTGATTCTATTCGAGCAAAACCAGCTAACCAAACACACCAAAACTTAGTTAGGCTTAAGTGAACACTCTAACCAAACAAGTGACTTTGACTTGTGTTAACCTGGCTAAGTCTAGCATGACTCAGGAAGCTAGTCAGGCCGGCTACGAATATATCAGGTGCAAACCAACTAATATGTGTAAACTTAGAAACTACCGATCAGGACCACTAGATGCTGATCTAACGATGGGGTGAGGAGACTTACGCGTAAAAAAAAGACCAGCGGGTGGGAGGGCCTAAGTGCAAAAAAATCTCACCTCTCACCCCATCCATTAGATCAAAATCTAGTGGTCCCGATTGATAGTTTCTAAGTTTACACATGTTGATTGGTTTGTACCTAATACGTTGCCCCAATTATTGCCCGTACCAGTGCCGCCAGAGGGAACAGGCCGGAGCAGTGCAACTAGCGATCGGAAGACACATACGCAACACACAAAGCCAGCCCGCCGGTCGTCAGCGACGATCCACTCCGGCTGGCCGGGCGCCGACCGAAGCTAAGCATTGGGCGGCGATGGAGGCGGCGGGGAGCAGCTCATGTGGAGGACGCGGCCGGGTTGTCGCAACAGCCATCACATCGTCACCAGAGAAGAAGGTCAACCGTTTCGTTCGCGCCGTCGCGCTGATCGAAAAGCTGGGCAACGCGCTCGGGACGCTGGTCTTCACATGGGGCCACCGTCGTCCTGTTGGGCGGCTACCCGACGGTGCTCGGCCAAGGCCAAGGCAGCGACTTTTGTTATGCGGTTCTCATCGTTTCTCTCGAAGCCCTAAGGTAAGCATGACCTACACTACAGTAGATCTCTTGTATAAAATGTTTGTTCAATAAACCATAAAATCGAAAGCAGGCATAAGTGTATATGACCTTTTGGCACTAACATTAAATTAGAAGAGTATCCATTTCCAGCGGAGAAGGCGTAATGCGAAATACAATAAACATGTAAGTAATATTCAGTGGTGTATATTAAACACGAATTGGAGCACATGAGCATTCCATTGAAAACTAAAAAGGCAAAAACATAACTGTTCATCAAATACAATCCATTGAAAACTGATGAAAAGGTAAAAACATAGCCGTTTAAAAATATATTTCATAGAAAGCTGAGCATAGAGCACATAACTTCAGCAAAATTCATAGCAAACCAGAACATTCCAACCAAACTTGTCATTTGTCTACATTATATTGCACAGCAGTGAGCGTCGTCACCACCGACACCAGGCCAGTTCAGTCTTTTTATTATTATATGAATAGTATAATAAAGGTGTAGTATTATACCAGTAGTAGTATAGCCACGTGGGTACCGTACATCGGAGTAATAATTCATGCAAACATTTGGATTTTAGTTAATTCCAATGTTTCCACACGACTCATGGGTATGTTTTCTGAAATTTAAAGGTAACTTTTGCAACACACACGTAGTTTATTTAGATGTGATGAAATTCCAGTGAAAGAGAATAAATACGTTTAAAACACCATAAAGCATATTATCTTTTAAGAACATACAATTAAATTAATTCCATATGCAAACATAATAAATAAAACTTATATTACATTTTCAGCTAAGAAATATAAAGTTAATTTGTCATATTGAATCTTGCTAGGGACGAGCAAATTGACTGTAAGCATGTGCTCTCATATGAACACCGAATAAAGGAAGTTGTTACATCAATTTGATTTCTTGATGAAACTTTTGGGTATTTTATATATATGGACTAGGAAGATGTCTCTCAAACAAATATCAAATATAGGAAACAATTATTGTTTTTTATGAAAAATTATTGAGGTTGTTATAATAAGAATGCGGTTTGGCCCCTTGCAAAATTTTAGATTTTTTCAAGAATATTTGTGTATTAATGATTAAAAACTATTATCTAACTACAAAAAAAAATAGGTGCTAAAGTATATAAACATTTAAATTTTTTCTCCCAAAACTCACATAAGACCTGAAATGCATGTGTGTAGTCACATATATATTTGTTTGCCATTTAAAGATTTTTATAGCACATGTATTGCAAATTTTAAGTAATTCCAGTTGGCATAAATACTTTTAATTCTGGAAGCCCCATTGCCAAAATTTATAATGAAATTATTTATGAAAGAAAACATAAGGAATAAACTTTAATCTTTTCATTCATGAAAAAAGGTAGAGTTAACACCGAAGTAGAAGAGTATTAGACACTTTCTTTCCTCTAACTTTGAACTATATACATAGATGAATAAGGGGTTCTTATTTTACAAGTGTATTTATTTATAGCTTATTATATGTTGAGGGATAGTGCCGGCGTGGGTTTGAGTCCAAACATTGCCATATTTTCTTCTTCTTCTTCAAATTTTTCTCCGGCTTTTTTTTAGCAAACAATTTTTTTTCTCCTGCTGTGCTTTGTTGGCTAAGAGCCGACCTGGGCCGAAGGTGGAGTGTTGAGGCCTGCTATCTGGTCTAGCCAGGAGGGAGGAATGGGCCATAGAAACTCAGCCCAAGCTAAGACGCGACGAGTGAAAAAAAAGATTATGGGGGCGTTTGGTTGGCGACCAAAGGATGGGCCACCTTCCTTAGAGTTGTGGCAAGTTGCGGCATCAGCGCCATGGTCGTCTAGTTCATTTTGGATGCCAAATCGCGGCGAGTTGCGGCGGCCGTTTTATGCGCCAAGACCTTCGCGTGATGCCAAAAGACATTATCTCTGATGTTTCTAAAAAAAAAAGATTCTCTCTGATTTGTTTTTTGAAATTCAAATTTAATTAACTTTCCTTTGAAACTTGATCCAAAAATATTGACAAAATCACAATAAATATATGGTTTTAAAAGATTGGATACAATATTTGGGTACTTTTAGATCATTACATTTGGCAAAACAGTTTATTATATATACAAGGTGGGTTATATATGCATATTAGCATATGGAAAAATGAAGAAAATCTCAGCTCTTTATATAATAAATATTTCACTATTATTATGTTGGTTTTAAAATATGTCCTTTTAAGAATTATTTGCATTAAACAAATTAAACAAGAACCATTGTGACTATATGCACATTTTTATATATGCACGTAGGATGTCATTATTGTATTTTCCTTTAGACTAGTGAGCCATGCTTGATTTATTCACGTCCAAAAAAATATTTTTTCAGGAGTCATTTTGTATAAACAATGACTCTTTTATATATGTGATTTTTATTTTCGCCTGTACAAATATGGATAGATATGAAAATCATATCACTACTCTACCAGGATAGTATTATCTAGCTATCCTGTAGTGGCAATTCCGTATTGCCTATGGCAATTAAACAATTGTGACAGACAAACAATATTGTTATAAAAATCATCACAAATAAATTGAATACACTGCAAAGGCATATTCCATGGAGAAAACGTTGTTAATTAATTTTTTCTATAACAATGATCAAAGTTAAAAAAATGTATGGCTTAGGACTATAAATGTCCATGCAGCCCGAGGCACGGCGGCTTTGACACGAATCACGTAATTTTAGCTCGGATCAAGCACGCACACGCCCGATGATGATCGCGGGCCCG